TGCATCTTGTATGTATATCTGAGTATCACAATGAATATCATTTGTAGATATCACAATATGTATCTTGTGTTCACATAAGGTTCACTGATTAAGATTCACCGGAGAGAGGAAAGATGAAAGATGAGAGAGAATATTTACAAAATCCCTAAAATATCCTTAATTAATATTTTAAGTTAAAACTATCAAAATTATTAATTTTTTAATTTACCATTTGATTTGTAGTTGAGATTGAACCTCACAATTATCACAAACAAAACAATTCTCATCTGATTAAGCACCTGTATATACACACATCAATTACTAGCTAGTTTATAAAAGATAGCCTCACTTGATTGTAGAAGATGATGTCAAGATGACACAAGACACATGTGGTGAAGAACATGGGTTGGATTAGTAAAAAAAGAAAGAGAAAAAAGGTCAAAGTGGATGCATGTTGACTTTAAGATATCAAAAGAGAATAAAGAAGTTAAAAGGTAGGGTTTGTTTGGTTTGATTTGTTTTGTGATCGTTAATCAATTCACAAATACAATCGTTAACTTAACATCAGATATAATATCAGAATTCCCGAGTGTTAGAATTTGGGACCAAGAAAATGATGGTACAACAAACGGAAGGGGTCCACGTAGCTCCTTTAATTATCCAAACCCGTGGTTTTCTGCTTTATCCAGATCCATATTATTTTAAAGCATCTTTGATATATTCTTCATAATTTCTTAAAAATTAAGAATTAAATAAAAAAAATTTATTTTATTTATATCTCTAAAATATTATTTTCAAGAATTCTATTTGATTGGGAGAATTAAAAAAAAAAAGTCTCAATAATTATATATCACGTGAGAATAGTGGAATTAGGATGCATGTACATGCATGCATACATACATGTATACATACATGCATATGTGTAATGATGATGGAGGGGGGAGTAGTAGCATGGAGGTGTTTGTTTTTTGGGAAAAATGAAAGCAAATAATTAGAAGGGAGGGGAGAGTTTCAAGATGGGAATGATGAAGAGGGATGACGACTTTATTACCATCATGCCCATGCCCCCACCTACCTCCACGTATCATTTCTTAACACCATTCCAATTTTTTTACCCCAGAATTTGAGGTCTAGTGAAAAATCCTTTTATTTATTATTATAGAGTGAAGAATTACCAAAATATTTTTATAAACCTCCGATAACAAATAAACAATGTTTTAATAAAACAAGCATCTTTTGTCACATCAAAAGGATGAGATATTATCAAAATATCGTATCAAATAGCCAGACGACTTATTTTATCACATTGTGGTAAAATCCATCGCATCATATGAGTAAAATCATGAATTCTTTGCATCACATGGATGAGACAACTTCATTTTCTCGCAACACACTGGTGAAGGGACCCCATTTTATCGTATTATGTTGGGTGTGATAAACCCAACATGTCGCATCACACTGGTGCGATAAATTAATTTGTCGCATCACAATGATGCGACAAACATACTCCTTGCACCATAAGGATGCGATAAAAACCATTCATCGCATCAATAGGATGCGATAACTCAAATCATTGTATCACACAAATGCGATAACTCAAAGTCATCGCATAATAAGGATGCGACAACAGTTAACCACTTGATCAAAAACACAATTTTTACATTCTGTTGATTATGTCACCCTTGTTCTGGTATATATCTCTCCTTGATATGTCACCCTTATCCCAAAATACACCTCTCCGGATTATGTCACCCTTATAACCAAAATACACATCTTCAAATGATGCCACCCGTGTTCCAATCATTTGATATTAACATATCAAAATACAAAATTATGCTAAACCCATAAAAACAGTTTTTCATAAATTCCCCATGTAAAGAACCATACGGTTCTAATCCACAAAATAAGATGAAGGTTTATAAAATAAGATGAAGGTTTATAATCAAAAGATATGAAGATTGGAACAACAACAAGCAGACAAATTAAGTCACAAAATCCAGTTTCTTCTTCCGCTTATGATCCTGTTTACTTTGCACATAAGAGAGCACACACATACAACTTTATTTTTTAGGGAAAAGTCTAAAAAAAACCAATGGACTTTAGTATTGAGAAGTAATCTTTATAGAAATCGTATTGAGAAGTAATCTTTATAGAAATCGAATTTGGGTTTGAGATGGAATAAAAACCTTGCAAACCAACTCTACCAAATAAAACTTGTTCTCATTGTAGTTTCAAAGTACATACGGTAGCACACAACAGATTAATACAGTTGCACTTTTCATGAACTTCAATTTTTTTACCCTTCGACGGAAGAATAATACGGGATGCACCACTATAGATCCGTCCCTGTCAATTCTTATCAAAGATTAATGTGCAAAATTTGCTATTAACTTCCAAGTTTATCGAACTGTAGTTATTAACAAGCTCTATTTTTTCTAAAAGCAAAAATATTAAAAGGAAAAGAAAAAAAGCAAATAAAACGAAGGAATCTGCAAAGGAGGATCGTACCAAGGTCCCAAAAGAAACGAAGCAAACAAACAAAGATCGACATAACAACAACAAAAACGACCCACAAAAAAGGAAAACGCAAAAGAAACAAAACCATAAAAGCTCTAATAACCTAATTTCTCCTTAGATTCTCGATTTAACCAAAACAAACTCTCTGGTTATTGCAAACAACTATAAACAAACTCTTAAGTCTTAAGTTTCTCCTTAGATTCTCAATTTAACAAAAAATTTGAAGGCGATAGTCTTCTTTTTCCCTTTTTTTTACTGACATCAGGGTTTTTTTTTTTTTTTTTCCATTTGAATAAACTACGTTTTTCATTCATGTGGTTTGTTGAGATTTGCTATTTATTTCATATACTTTTGAAATTATAGTTTTCGTTCTTATACTTTATATTGCATTGTTCTTGTCTTTATAGTTTATAATTCAGTGTTCTTTTAATCCCAGATATTTATTGATAAATCATTAATGGAGTTAATCTCAGATACGAAAACAACAATAAATTACAACTAAAATCGTAATTTTAAAAACACAAAATCATAAATCACTAAAAACTTCTAAAAACTTATTTTATGTTTTTCTTTGCTCTTTCTTCCTTGTTGAGTTGTTTTTCCCCACTTTTTCCTTTTCTGATTTATTTTCTGTTTGGGCTTGCTGTTTTGGGCCATTTTGTGTTTGGATTTGAGCACCAAGATATAAGCCCATTATCTCTCTCTCTCTCTCTCTCTCTCTTAAAAGCATGTTATTATCTTGACAAAAAAGCTAATTATCAGCAGTGCCAATCGATCTCATATGAAACTCGCCTTCAAGAATGCCAATATGATTTTTTTTTTTGGGCTCACTATAGACCGAAGTGAACTGGGGGNGGGGGGGGGGGGGACCCATGACCTGTCTTTATTTGGACAGAGTCACTTCACATTTTCACCAACTGACCTACAAACCAAAGGAAAAAAAACACATGTTGTTAAATTGTACAATACATCTCAATAAAATCATAACAATTAATTTTTGGGGTATTTGATCAAATAAGATTGTATTTGAGCAAAGTCGTTAAGCTCGATTGACGGTTGAATTACACGCATGAGAACTCAAATACCTTGGATTATAAAACAAAATGAGACAATGAAATTAGGTGCATAATGATTAAGAGACTTTTGTGATAGTGTAAAATGAAATATAATTGTTTGGTAATTGTTTACGATGAAATTAGGGCGCTCAATGGTTAAGAGAGATTCAAAATACAAAATCATTCAGAGAGTTTTAGAACCATTATGAGACACTTTTTTTTACCTAACAAGATTCACATCTTAACGATTTAGAGACTGCCTCTTAATGAAACTATTGCCACTCACTTGGTCAATTAAAAGGTGTTAAGAAGATTGAAATGTATGATAATCAAATGTAACTATTAAACCACTTATCCTTCTAAACCAAATCAAAACCTATGCACTCACAAGATTCAACTTACTTCTAACTCTAGGACATTTAGTTTCCTCTTTCATGCATCACAATTGGGTCGAGTTCAAAGGACGGGATGAGGATCGAGAATGAATTCACGGATTTCATCGGTTTCGGGAGCAGTCATCACTGCTACAAGAATCATCCCTGTTATTACAGTGTTCTTGTAATTCTCGTTATTTAAACAGCAACAAACTTGTAATTTCTCCTTTTTTACTACAATACTCCTTCCTTCATGGCATCACCTACAAACTAATCTCCAAGTTTTCAGGTCGATTTTGATTCCGGTTCAGGGATAACCAACGATAAACGAGAAAAGGAAACGGAGAATGGAGATTTTTATCCTTAATGGTTTCCTCAATGGCGATAGAGAAAACGACTGGGACCCAATTAAGATCCCTGACGAGGATCGGGACGGTTACATAGACGGTTTTTGTTGTCGGTTTCAGAGATGGGGATACCAATAACCGTCCCGAACCTAGATCATTGCATTTTTCTTCAATCATACAAATCATAGATATAGTCAAATATTAGACTCCAGTAGTTTTCATGAGCAACAACGTGTCTACTGTTTTAAGAAAATGAACGAAGTTGTTTGACAGTTGCTGAATGGTTTGATGCAGAATGATTAAGTGGTCAGAATGATTAAGAGACTTTTATGATATAGTGCAAAATGAAATATAATTGTTTGGTAATTGTCTACAGTGAAATCAGGGCGCTTAATGAATACAAAATCATTCAGAGGGTTTTAGAACCATTAAGAGCCAGACTTTTTTTTGCCAAACAAGATTCACCTCTTAATAATTCAGATATTGCCTTTTAATAAAACTATTAAGAGGTAAATAAATAACCCCGAAATATCTTACCAGATTTTAATTTGTGTAAGGATTTATTTGATTTTATTAAAATAAAAAAAGGTTAAAAATGCTATTAATGGCATGGTACTAGGATTCCGAATATATGGATGGAGGTCTATTTTGGCCTAAAATGGCGATCCTCCTTCTTCCCTCATATATCATAAATAAACACCATTGTTGTTCATCCCACAGGGAAGAATTCAAGAGAGAAAAAACAAGGTCAGATCAGTGGGGCGCCTTTTCTTAGGTTTACCCCTCTGATTCTTGTTCAGACTCTGCTCGTTTCTTCCTCGGATTCAATTCATTCCATCATTACCTTCTTCCAATTCGTTTTTGTATGATTGAAATCTCCATTTGAGGAGCTGCCATTCGATTTCGATTTCGATTCCAAACCCCCTTTTTTTCTGGGAAGGAAATGGGACGATAGAGAAAAGAAGGGGTTAAAAATGTCGATTCCGGTGGATTGGTCGGATCTGCCGCCGGAGTTGCTTGAAATGATCGCGAAGAAACTAAATATTCACAAGGATTACGTTCGATTTAGAGCTGTTTGTTTAGCATGGCGGAACGCCGCTCCAAAAATCCCTAGACACCTTCCATGTCAACTCCCATGGCTAATGCTCCCTCGAAGAACAAATCAGGATCCACAATCGAATCATCGGAGTTTCATAAGCCTTTCTGACGATAAGATTCATCTTCTTAACCTACCTGAAGATTCCGACAGCCATCGCCGGTGTGGATCTTCTCATGGATGGCTTGTGATTCTCGAAGAAACCCCTTCGATTTCCATTTTAAACCCATTAACCCAATCTAAACACCAACTTCCACCATTATCATCTTTCCCAAATGTCACAAAGTTTGATCCTTGTGAAATTGGGAGAGAATACACCCTCAAGACTTCCGATGGCGATGTTTATACATGTAATTCGAAAGAAATGCGCGATTCTTTCATCAAGAAGGTCATCTTTTCTTCGAGTCCTTCGAATGAGGATCTCGATTACTATGCCGTAGCGATCCTAAATCAAACCGGTGATCTTGCATACTGCAAGAAAGGTGATCAATGTTGGAAATTCATCGACGATGCGAATTCCTTCTGTGAAGATGTGATCTTTCACAAGGGATATTTCTCTGCTGTGAGCAAATACGGAACCATCGCAGTTTGCGACGTTAATGGCTCATCGCCTGTCGTTTCCTTCATCGAAACCCCACGACAGATCGGTGGCGATATGCAGTATTTGGTGCCATGGAAGGACGAACTGTTGCTGGTGACTCGATACATGGAGGTGGAATTCAACATGGATCAAAACAAGCTTGATATCTTGTATAAAACTACAGAATTTCGAGTTTATAAGCTGGTTTCCAATGGACCCAAATGGGAAAGCATGAGTGAGTTGGATGGGTGGGCATTGTTCGTGGGCGAAAACTGTTCGATTTCGTTTCGTGCTTATGAGTATCCTGGTTGTAAAGGAAACTGCATATACTTCACAGATGATTACTCAGAATGGAACTACAATGGTGCCAATGGGAGTCATGATTTGGGTATTTATGATTTGGAGAATGGATGTGTAGAGCCTTTGCCATGTTATCCCGAAAAGTTCTACAATGGTCGTCGATGGCCTCCTCCGATTTGGATTACTCCAAGTCTATATTAATCATGTAAGCGTTAATCTTTTGAGTGGAATATATTGGGTTTGTTTGATTTATATATACCTTACTGTCACGGTGGTTACGGAAACGACTACTATACCCTTTTAGACAAAGAATATGTTTGTGTACTTTCTAACTCTAGCACTGCGTTCGAATGAAATATACTAGGTTTGTTTGATTTATATATGCCTTTTATTATCTGGGTGGTTACAGAAACAACTGCTATACTCTTTTAGACAGAGAACATGTTTGTGTACATTTTAACTCTAGACTCTATTATCTAGTGAAATATATTGGGTTTGTTTGATCTGTGTATGTCTTTTATTATCAAGCTGGTTACAGAAACATATGTTTGTGTACATTCTAACTCTAGACTCTATTTCTAGTGAAATATACTGGGTTTGTTTGATATATATATATATATATATATTTATATCTTTACTCTCACGGTTGTCATAGAAACAACTGTTATACCCTTTTAGGCGGATGACATGTTTGTCTGCATTCTAGTTCCAGACACTGCTTTTGAGTAAAATATATTGGGTTTGTTTGATTTATATATACCTTTACTATCAGGGTGTTCAAAGAAACAACTGTTGTACCTTTTTAGGGTGAGGACATGTCTGTGAATATTCTGACTTTAGACATTGCTTTCGTGTGAAATATACTAGGTTTGTCTGTATTTATATTACCTTTACCATCTGAGTGGTCATGAACGATAACAACTGTCATGTCCCTTTAGGTATAGGACATGTATGTGTACATTCCAAGTCTAGACACAGCTTTTAAGTGAGATATATTGGGTTTGTTTGATTTATATATACCTTTACTTGCATTAAAACTCGGTATGAAGAACATGTTTCTCTTTGGTTGCAGGAGTAGGTGGTTCAACGAGTGTCGATTATGAGAAAAATGTTTGATTGCTTTTCCTGGGATAAAAGCCGGGGATCTTATAAGTAATGACAACGTATAATAGAACCATACGTTAAGTTGCACTTTGGAAGTCGACGACATTCATTTGGAGTGAAACGCTCCTCGACTTTGTTTGTTATTTGTACGATATATAAAATTACGATAGTTTTTGAAAACGGAACTTTTTTTTTTTACGTTTTCTTTCTTTCTTTCTTTCTCCTAGAAGTTGCTTGCTTCATATGCTCAAAGCATCCGTGAAGATATATAGAGTTCTCAAATGCCCTTCTTATATTCGTTTCACAAAATAACGACGTTTTAACAATCTTTCAAAAGGTGTAACGGATTAACGATATATTAGATGCATACCGAAAGCTACATTACCACCGTGACAAATTTTTATAATGATATCGAAATCGTCAACTCACTCAAGTAATCGTCTATAGATTTTATGAATTATTTTTAAACAAAAATTCACCGGAATTTATTATGTTACATGGTATCAAAGCCTATTACATTTTTCATCCATGCGTGTTTACTGATTTGAACGACCGAGTCTCTAAAGTGAATTTTAACGAAAGGGGTCTTTATGGTTTGTTTTTCTTCAACGGTTTGAGCCTTCGTGGTTTACTTTTAATCGTTGGGAGTATACGATGGAAACCATACTGCACTAATCTATCATGATTGTTTGTACGTTACGACCGTTTTGGTTGATGATTTTGTATCATAGGTCTTTCTTAAACCATTCAACGCCCTAATTTCGTTGCAAATAATTACCAAACAATTCTATATTATTTTGCACTATATGATGAGAGTCTCTTAATCATTTTGACCACTTAATCACTGCACCAAACCACTCAGAAACTACCAAACAACCCTTGAGTCTAGATTATTCAACATGGTATTAGGGTAGTTTAAATAAAACTTAACCTAATATCATGTTGAATAACATAGTATTATTCTTAACACATCTAATGCATACACACCACAGTATATTAGGTAGCGACATTTCTTTTCTTCCACCTATGTGGGATCAGGAGCTATATAGTTTATTTTCGTCGTAAAGATCATTCATCTTTATCATCTGCATCACAATGTCAATGTTTCGAACAGCCTCACAATGACTTCAGTGAAAACCAGTATACGTATTCAATCAAAATCTATATGATTTATATTCGTTGTCAAGATCATTGATCTTTCAAACTGACGAGATAACTGATACCAATCTTGAATATTGTAGTTTAGTGATGATGCAATTGGATTTGGAGATCGTCCACGGAGTACTTTATCACCCAGATCACAATGTCACTAGTTTGAGAAGGAGAAGAAAGAGTGCAGACCTAAACCCCGTCCCCCATAAGGCTAATATTTTGACGACCGCTCATAAAATATGAATAAAAAATCATTTTCTTAGGTTTATTTATTATATTCAAAAATATATTTAGAAATTGATATTTTTGACATGGAATGATTATTTTGGGCCAAAATCGATTATGTTTAGATACTAATTAAATGTAATAAAATTTTCCATTAATATGGATTAAATAACGGGTCAAAATATTCAATATTTTTAATTTAGATTTGGCCGACCAACGTTTTTTTTTGAACCTTTTTTTAGTTCTATGAATATCAAACACACATGTCACTGATTTTCTCCGTATTCAAATGCATATTAAATAAAATACAAAAATGCAAAAAAATTACAATAACAAAATAAAACTGTTTAAGTTTTTATTTAATATACTGATGTTTTAAATCAATATAACAAACTTTCACACCTTCATATTTTGATGCTAACTTATGTACGAAATTAAATGAAAGCTAGAATTGATCATATTTTTTTTTAATCTTAGGCGGAATTTACTTTTTATACGTAATTTTATTTTGTCAGTTTAAACATTCGCTATTGTTAATAGTATGTTATGACACTGCAAGTTTGAGGGATGTGAGTGCAATGTTCGTGTTATTGGCAACCACCACAAGGCTTCGTATGCATTCTTGTATCACTTCTGAAGCACGAAAATCCTTAACTCACTCAAGCAAATACACATAGATGTCTTGAACCATTAAAAAGGATGTCTTGACGAGCATAAAACAAAAAGTTAAAGAATATCTACAAGTTATTTAACATGGTATCAGAGCAGGTTACTTTTTTTACTTAACCAACCCTAACACCATGTTAAATAACGTAATATTAATCTCAACCCATTTAGTGCACATTCACCATGGTATATTAGGTACCAACATTTCTTTTCTTTTATCTATGTGGGATTATGAATTAACCTGCTTTGGTGAAAGTATTATACATCATCCATCAAAAAATTCGTATATGGTCATTTGGTAACAACGCAATCAGATTCAGAGATCCTTCTTGTTATGTTTAGTCTTCAAAGTGGGACTTGATTACAGAAAGAAGGAAATGTTTTTCCTTTGATCTTTACGATCTTATTTACTTTTTGAATTTATTACGTAAAAACATGGCCAAAGGGAGTTTCGACGAGTTTGTTCGGGCTTTGCATACATCAATTGTTCAAAGATTGCATTAGAATGTTGTGTGACCTTTTATTCTGTGCAAAGGAATCTTGTCACTGAAAAACTCTACAGAGAAAAAAATGGGTTGTCAAGAACAGTCAAGATCTAAAGTATATTAAATATGGTTTTAGAAAGTATATTTCTGAAACTAATATTTTCATTTTTCTAATAAAATGATCAATAATGTTGCAAGCATTTAAATTCTCTTTGAAATTGCAGCAGTACTTATCAGGGTTACTGAAAGATAAAAAAACCCATCCAAATGCCTTTGAGACAAAAACACAAGCTGTCGATATGCGAAAATAGCAAATGGCATAAAAATGCAATGGAGTTTATCTTATAGCTGATAAATTACTTAAAATCTTATGTACGGTTTGTTAAAACTATCAAATGTCACAACTATTTAAAAATTACACAGTGCTCCTCTGTTAATTTGCTTACACTGTTCTTTCCTACGTTAAGTTCATCCGTTAAGTTGAGTACATTTTATCAAATTTTATTTTACAAAGTTTCTTAGTGAAAATATTACACATCTTATTCTATTAAAATATACACAATTTGGCTTTTCATAAGGGACGGACCCAGATTTTTTTCAAACGGTGACATCATTTGACTATAAAAAAATATAGGGAATTTTTTTTCAAACGGTGACACCATTTGACTAAGAAAATGACACTAACATGATTCGAACTTGGGTGTGGGGTGCAATAAAAGCCTTGCAAACCTACTCTACCAAATAAAAACTTGTTCTCATTGTGGTTTCAAAATATATATATGGTGACACACAACAAATTAATACGGTTGCACCTTTAACGAACCTATAGTTTTTTACCCTTCGACGGAGGAATAATATGGTGGCACGTGCCACCGTATGCACCACTATAGGTCTGTCCCTGCTTTTCATTATAGGTTTCATCCATGTGTTTCACTGATTTTAATGATTAAGTCCCAAAAGTGAATTTTAACGAAAGGGGTCTTCATGGTTTGTTTTTCTTCAACGGTTTGAGCCTCTGTGGTTTAGTTTTAATCGTTGGGAGTATAGGATGGAAACCATATTGCGCTAATATATCATGAGCCTTACATAAATAATCAGTTTACCTTTTAGGGTACATCGAACCTTCAGACCCTATTTTTGAATGAAATACGAGTTTTGATTTGGTTCATGTTGTCCTATCTAGAATTAGATTACAAGAAAAACAGTATCATGATTACGAAATACTCATGCACTAAACTACCTTACATGCACTGTTTGTACGTTATATGACCGTTTCTGTTGATGAAATTTCGTACTTTCTTAATCTATTTTTTCTGCAAGAGTTGTTTAATGTTTTCTGCATCTTGGATACGTCTTTCCCTCAAAGCAATATCCATGAAGATTTAGAGACTCGACAGAGTTCTCAAATAGCCTTCTTATATTCACATGCGTACAAACAACGTTGCCATTTTGACAATCTTTCAAAAAAATGTAACCGATTAAAAGTGCTTATTAACTTATGTGGTATTAAATCAGAGTTTTGTCAAAAGTGTTTGGATTAGCTTATAGCGGTACCAAAAAACAATAAGCTGGTAAGTTGTTTTTTAGTGTTTGACAATTTTTGCTTATATATGTAAAATGACCAAAAAGGACAGTCTTCCATATAATAATATTTTTGATTATTAACTTATTTAATTTTTTAACATGTAAAAATTTATTTTTCATCATTTATAATAATATTTTTGACAAAAATTTATATCAATAAGATTAATAATTAACAAACATTAACAAAACAAGGTTAAAATGGTAAACTCATAATAAACAGTTTTTCATAAGTCAGAAAGAATTAACTTATCAAAAACTACTTATTACCGGTTTGGCACCGGTATAAGCAGTTTTATTTTTCCTCATCAAAACACTAGCATTTAGCTTATCACCGGTGTCAGACTGAAATAAGTCAAAAAACACATAAAATAAGCAATCTCAAACACCCCCTTAGATGTTTACCGTAAAGCTACATCACCATCTTCAGGATTCTCTATAATGAAATCAATGAAAGGAACTACAAAATAAACACCAAAAGGTAATATTCTTATACACGTCATCACTTGACCTAAATGGCATAACGTTATGCCATGTTAAGTAAGGTGACATGACACCTAGTATAAAAACGCTAAAATAACGTCGTTCTTATGTATTTCTCATTACATAACAAACACAAAAAAATAAAAATTATACAAAATATGTCTAGACAAATAGAAAAAGTTAAGAATTTATACAAGTTATCCTTCATGGTATCAGAGCAGGTTAAGTTTTATTTAACCTACCCTAATACCATGTTGAATAACATAATATTATTCTTAACACATCTAATGCATATACACCACAGTATATTAGGTAGCAGCATTTCTTTTCTTCCACCTATGCGGGATCAGGAGCTATATAATTCATTTTTATTGTAAAGATCATTCATCTTTATCATCCGCATCACAATGTCAATGTTTTGAACAGTCTCACAATGACTTTAGTGAAAAGCAGTATTTGTATTCCATCAAAATCTATATGATTTATATTTTTCATCAAGATCATTCATCTTTCCAAACTAGCGAGATAATTGATACCAATCTTGAATATTCGGAGATCCTCCACGGAGTACTTT